GCGGGAAAGCCCGCTTGGAAGTCCTGCTGCCTCATTAGTTCTGTCGAATGGCAGAACTGTCTGCTGTGTGGACTAGCGATTGATTTGTTGGTTATTGTTGATTTGTCATCATGGCTTTGACCCCATTTATTTTTAAGCAGTTGTTTAATTAAATACTCCTAGGCTCTCATAATTCATAAATTTAATAATATATACTAACTAAGGGCATGTGTCTTCTGATTATAATTTAGTAAATAGCCTGTTGAGAACTATAGTCTTTGCAGTTTATTAGTGGTTACCTCCCTAGACTGCATCACCACAACCAACTCGGCACTATCACAAAACTGCTTGCCTTAAATTGCTACTGTCATAAATTAGTAGTTTTCCTGAAATAACCTTGTGTAAGCTATTATCAGTGGCAGTAGGAATCTCTTTATTTTTTCCTGTGAATTTACTGTTGGGTCATTTATTTAGCTTGTTCTGAATTATAATGTGTCTTCACAAGTGATAATCACCTAAAGCAGTCAGTCTTAGGAGAATGATTGTTTTTATTTTATATTTTGTATTTTTATAACAGCTTTATATTACATTTCATGGAAAGCAGTTCAAACCTTAGTCATGTGATGAAGGGAAGGATTTTTTCCTCCATATTAAGACTTTTGCTGAACTCTGAATATTCTAATTCTTTCCTAGTCATTCTACAATTTACATTGGCAAAATCTAGGTCTTCCTTCAAAGTAAGGGCTTTAAAAAAACACTGGTATTCTTCCATAGAAACTGAAATCCATAGAAACTGAAATTCTTAATTATCTTTCTCATTTCAGATACAAGCCACACACAAGCAAAGAGAATTGGCTAGTAAATCATGGGAAAATTTCTTGGCCAGAACATCAAATGCTAAAACTTTAAAGGTAGGATTTTTAAAATACTGTGGTATCCAAAATAAATAGCCAACTCAGATGGACTTTTTCAGGAATATTCATTTGCCTCTTCTGACCTTTTTAAAAAAATTTTTTTTAATGTTCATTTTTTAGACAGGGGCGGGGGGAGCGCATGAGTAGGGGAGGGGCAGAGAGAGAGGGAGACACCGAATCTGAAGCAGGCTACAGGCTTTGAGCTGTCAGCACAGAAACTGACTCAGGGCTTGAACTCACAGACCATGAGATCATGACCTGAGCCGAAGTTGGACGCTTAATTAACTGAGTCACCCAGTCCCCTTCCACTGACCTATCTATAGAATACCAACATGGATAGGTCCTCACATGCAACATAGGGTGATAACTGAAACTATGCATTTTTGTAGTTACAGAAGATGCTACTTGGAATTTTATTTGATCTAGCAATAGGAAGCAAGGATGATTTCCTGGCTTACATAAAGGAGATGATAGTTAACCAGCAATGAGCAGGAGAAATGTGCTCCTACTTTCCATTTTGAGTCTTCTTATTCATTGGTCTTTTCTTTAAGAAGTAGAGTGAAGGACAGAAAAAACAATTGTGTGTACCCTCTCCGCCAAAGGTATTTCCCCTCCATGACCATCAAAAGAAACATATTAAAGCTTAAATGAGAATTGAGGATAAAAATACCTTTGGAAAAATGTGATAAGCTGTTTCAGGAATAGCTAGAAACTAATCTAAAAAGTTTATGATGTTGAATGTTCACTTGAGATATGTGAGAAGCAGCATGTATTTCCAAAACCTCCTTTTTCCATTAATACTTTTGAATATGGTTTTATGTAAACTTCTTTTTCCATAAACTTTTTCCATTAATAGTTTGGGTATGCTTTTATGCAATGTTACAGTTCTTCCACTAGATATGAAATTGTTGAATCTTAAGTTAATCCATGAAAATAGTGAAACCACATTTAGGCAGCAAAACCAAAGTTAAGAACAAAAGCTCTCTTGAGGTACCATGTCTCCTTCTTCTCAATGAAAATTCTTCTCAACTTATAAAACATCCTCATAATTATCTGTACTTTTAAGGAATAATTAATGACAATCAGACCCTCATTTGTTTAACAATGCAGATCATTTTTTTACCTTGAATTTCACCTGTGGTAGTGCTTCAACTATTGAGTTTAACAATAAGTACAACAGGGGTGCATGGGTGGCTCAGTTGTTAAGTGTTAAGTCTTGATTTTGGCTTAGGTCATGATCTCGCAGTTTGTGGGTTTGAGCTCCACTTTAGGCTCTGTGCTGGTAGGGCAGAGCCTGCTTGGGATTTATCTTCCTTTCTGCCTCTCCCAAGCTCTTGTGTGTGCGCGTTCTCTCTCCCTCCCTCCCTCCCTCAAAAATAAACAAACTTAAACACTTTTTTAAATATAAGTGCAACAAATTATACAATTTATAATATTCTGTTTGAAGCATTTAAGTGTTCTGAATTAGTTAAAATTATGTAAAATATTTTGAAAACTTGCATCACCCAAGGTAAATTTAGTAACTTAATAAATTATGTGCTAAAAATTGAACATGATTTCCTCAGGACCTGCTTTATTCCTTGGTCATATATGACTGGTACCTCTGGAAATTTCAGTAATGTTTTTAGGTGACTGGTGTCTTCTGCAATGTATGAAAGATATAACTTACTAATAACTACCATCTTAGCCTAAGTGAGTAAGTGCAGGTTACAGTGGTACTGGTAATGAACAGTCTAAATCAGGCACAATTAAATGTACTTCATATACTGCATTCTAAGTACAACAGTTAATGCTTTAATAGAAATTAATACTACTTTCTTTTAATTTAAAAATTTTCAGAAAGCAAAAAGGCTTCAGGAAAAAGCTATAGAAACCTCTAGACATGGTGGGCATCCTCCAAATGCAATATTTCATAGGACAGATATTAAAGGCCTTAACACAACGGTAAGGATTTTTCTTCATAACTTTTCTTAGTAGATACTGAATTTAGTCTCCATAGAATGGTATTTCCATGGGTTTTGTCTCATATTTGTTCGTTTCACTGGTCACATTTCCCATAGCTAAGGCAGATTTATCTCTAAGGTACCTTCACTCTCACCCAGTACTGATCCTAGATCAGCCCTCCAGGATTCCCAGGAAACTGCTATAATTTGGTATCTTTTCCAAAGTCAGCTAAAGGATGATTGAGTTTCTCTCTTATTGAAAAATTTTGCAAATGAACTGTTAGATACATACCTTTTGCTTTTCCAGGTGCCTTCCGGTCGGGTGGTAACAGTGGAAAGCACTCCTGCCCGATTGCTGGGAGGACCTCTGGCTGATACAGACATTGCTCTTAAAAAACTGCCTATTCGAGGAGGAGCCTTACAAAGGGTGAGAGCAGCAAAAACTGTGAATGAGCCCAAGAAGAGCGCTCCTACATAAGACAGTCTACAGACTGTCTGAAATGAAGTCTGCTTATAATTTTTTAGTTAAAAACAACTTTATTTATAATTATAAAACAAATATTTTGGAATATTTTAGTAGGAAATACTAAGAAAAAATAAAAGCAAGCACATACAATTTATTTGTATTGAAAATATCAATATACAGCATCAGAAGAGTTGTCGTCAATTTCTTTGGAAAGATTGCTGGTTCTCTTAATTGAAATTGTAAAACATACAGTATCAGTTAAAACTCCTTTGGTTGCATGTGAACTACTCCATCTGGCTTAAGCCAATAAAAACTTTTACAGGCTCTATAGATATCGATCTAGAAGTAATTAAGATGGTAGGCATTGTTGGATCTAGGCACTAAAGCTCTGAGAAGGATCTTGTTCCCTAGCAGCTCCTGGATTATATTCTCCCAAATTGGTGCCCAATACAGAAAAATACATGCCTGTCTCTCTACAATCTCTGCAATAGTTTCTGCATGCTGGGACCCCTGATTGGCCACATGCCCAGTCCTGAGCCATCCACCATGACTTTGGCCAGGTCTGAGTACTGCCTACCTCCAGAGCCAGAAGCAGGCCAACCCAAAACAAAATATATGGATCTACTGGGGAATCAGGATATTGTTATCATATGAACATATAAATACTGGACAGAAAAAACATTTGCAACAATCTGTTGGTCAAAGTAAAATAAATTATCTTTGTTATAAAAAGCAAATGTTAGTCATGAGCTACACAATAAAAAAATACAAATGGTTTTATTCTTAATATATAAATATGCAAAGTTAATTCTAATGCTATTTTCTTCTTTAATGGGGAAGGGAAGAGGAGAGTTGGCAAGTGTTTTCCCTACTTTGATGGTGGAAGTATCTTGCCAAAAAATAGGAGATAGTAGCTTTATTGCTGGATGTAGAACAGAGTGTCCCTGTATGCCATTATGAGCTTTCCATAGCCTGTCTCTATTCCCATCAGCTCCATCTAGGAAGCCACAAAGTTGAGTTCATGTCCAGGATTGGGAGAGAAAAGAATCTGTTTTCTTAAATAGGAAAATATGCTGGTACTTGTGTCTAGCTTCTAGGCCCATAGGCACACTCAGCAACGTACTGGTAAATGAGTAGCAATCGGTTTCTTCAAGTGGCAAAAGCCTTTATTTGTACTGTTTGCCAATTTGCATGGTGTAAATACTCCCACTGTGACCAGTTACAAGCTACCAACATGATGCTACTTCCCAATCCAAAGTTGGGAAGACATGTATAGAGTCCTTTAAAAAAAAAAAAAAAAGTTTTATTTATATCTGTGAGAGAGAGAGAGAGAGAGAGAGAGAAAGCATGAGCAGGGGAGGCTCAGAGAGAGAGACACACATAGAATCTGAAACAGGCTCCAGGCTCTGAGCTGGCTGTCAGCACAGAGCCCAATGCAGGTCTCGAACCCACGAACTGCAAGATCATGACCTGAGCCAAAGTCGGATGCTTAGCCGACTGAGCCACCCAGGTGCCCCTAAAGTCCATTTTATCAAATAAGAGAGAGCTCCATTACCCCACTGGACCCACCTTCTACCACTTCCTCCTCCCTTCTCCTCTTACCCCATCTCACATTCCACCAGGAATTTTCTTTTATCCCCATCTGTGAAGGTAGTACCATCTGCAATAAGGGGAGAAATGGCAACTGTTTTTCATGTTCTAATTAAACTGAGTTGACAGAGTACCATTGGCCAGCAGCTTCTCATCCTGGCCCAGCTGCCTATTCTCCTGTGGCCCACAAGAATAGATAATATGCATCAGCTTACCATGCAGCTTTGTCTCTCCTGAATCCTTTTCTTTATTACTACCACCACCAAGATATTAGAAGGCATAACTTGTTCCTCTTCTTGACAGGAAGCCCTAAGCACAAAGATTCCATGAAAGAGGAGTTATTGGGTCAAGGAAAGTTATGGATAAGAACACACAATGATGAGATGTCCATACAAAAAAACAACAGATACACCTCAAGAATATCAGATACACACAGAATCAAAACGAAGTGTTCATGGCTAAAAGCAACAAATCTTTGCCTTATTTTGTAGACTAGAAGCTTCTTCCTCAGATGCTAAACTCCCTAAGCACAAGGTAGAAACCACCTTTCATTCATCATTGAAATCAACACTTCAATAAATAACTTATTACATCAGTGTGATGGTCAGGCCCCTGATAGCCTTTCCCTTGAGCTCTGCAAATGTAGCAAAGTCCTGAGCTCAAAATGAAGATTCAGACAACAAAATACAGGTAATGCTAAACATAGATATATTGAAGTAGTTCAAATGTATTTACTCCATAACAGTGACTTTCTCCAAAATGATTTTTAAGTATTTAAGACATAAATACTATTGCATTAACTAATTTTATTAACAGTGTGTAGACATAGAATTGATATTACTTGGTTCAATATATTTTTTTGTATCTAGTATAATGTGATATCTCCAAACTGATTAGGACTGACTACAATCAAAATAATCTGTGGTATCTGTGGACCTTTCCCCTCTGCTGTGTAGATCCTACCCATCAGGAGGAGAAAAGGTAAAACAGGACAGGTTGTTCCCTAATAGCCATTTAACAGCTAAATAAATGTAGATGGATAGAGGATAGTGTTGTTTAATACAGACACTTAATCTTGGTAGACAGATGTGCACTGTCTTTGCATATTACAATTCCTGCCACCTTTGTAGTGAGCAAGTGAATCGATCTGACAATGTCACTAACTACACTAGGTCTCTGTCTCTTCTCATACCCTGTGCTCCCACCCAGTCCATCCAGCCTGACTGAAAGGCAGACAATATATTTCCTTCCATGAGTCAGATGAGACAAAATTTCAAGCTCTCAGACTGAAACTTTTGCTAATAAACTAAATGAAAAGAGAGTCAAAAGAATAAAAATGGAGTTTAGTGAATACAGATGAAATGGTTTCAACATGCTTCAATAATGAGGTTTTTACCACATGAGGGAGCCCCTACCATAAACTCTTAGCCAGATGTTGCTTCTATTGGATGAAAACCAGTGAATAATTAGGTGAATAACTTATTCATCTCATTCTCTGCCTTGTGGAGCACAAGATATGTTTCATATCACAGGAAAAAACTTGTGTTCAGCCTAAGTCTTTTCAGGTCAAATATCTATTTTCTGCTATCATTCCTTTTTTTTTAATGTCTATTTATTTTTGGAGAGAGAGAGAGTGGGCAGAGAGAGAGAGGGACACACAGAATCCAAAGTAGGCTTTAGGCTCTAAGCTGCTCTGTGCTGCTCCAAGCTGTCAGCATGGAGGCTGACATGGGGTTTGAACCCATGAACCATTTTCATGGGTCATTTGGCTCATGACCCTGAGCCAAAGTTGCATGCATAACTGACTGAGCCACCTAGGCACCCCTGCTGTTACAGTTCTTATTTAATCTTTCCAGAATTTATGAATCTGGCCAGCCCCTTCTGAAGTGCCACCATTTATTAATGTTCCTCTAAACTGTGACCAGACAAACTGAACAAAGATTTCCAGGTATAGTAGGACCCATGGAGGTTATAATGAAACTAGTCTTCCTCATTTTTACACACTTTCTGCCAACAAAGCCTAAGCTTACATTAGTTTCATTAGCAGTTACATTTCATAATTGCTTATATTGAGTTTAATATAAGTCAAGTTTAATATAATCACAGTCAAGGATGCTTTCTGAGGAAGAGAAAAGCAGCCCCTGACAGTCAGAAATTGGCCTGGTATTATCAGGTCAAAATTCTATAGATACACCTAGTGCCCAAATCTTGATTTCTAATAATATTATCCAATAAAATCAGGGCTCCTTGGAGAAATGGCTGGTTCTAGGGATGGGGCAGAAATATACGAGATGAGTCTGGAGCACCCTATAGAGCTCCCAGTGACCAAAGCTGGAACAATTTCATCAAAAAATAAGTAATGTAGTACTGGATTATAATCCAAAATATAAATAAATGCCCATTAAATCCCTACTGATATGATGAATGATATGATAAATGATGAAAGAAAAGGAATGAAGGAAGAGGAAGGAGGAGGGAGGGAATGAGGGCAGACAAATCTCCCATATAAATTATCTCCAAATAATTTATGTAGTTATTTCCTTCTTCTGTATGTGGAACATAACTTCCCATTCTCTTACATGTGGGTTATGCTTACTGACTTACTTCCAAAGAATGGTTTAGAAAGAGAAGAGAAAGTAATATGATAGCAGAGAAACCTGGGATACACTACATTAGCCAACGTTAAACATCATTGGTGTTAACTCAAGTTGACAGTATATGCCCTTGATCTGAAGCATTGAGAACAGAACTTCTGTCGTCTTCTTCCAAAAAACCTATAAACCCACTCTAACCATGAGAAAAAAAATCAAGCAAACCCAAATTGGATATTCTGCAACATACCTTACCAGCACTCAAAACTGTCAAGGTCACTGAAAACACCTTCTTAGAGCCTAAGGAGATGTGATACCTCAATACATTATGGAGTCCTGGATGGGATCCTGGAACAGAAAAAGGGTATCAGGGAAAAACTAGTGAAATCCAAGTAAAACATGAAGTTTGGTTAATAATGTATCAGTAATGGATCATTAGTTATGACAAATATACCATACTAATGTAAGAACTTAACAATAGGAAAGAATAGGTGAGGAGTATACAAGATCTCTGCATTATCCTTGCAACTTTTCTGCAAACTTAAAATTATTCTAAACTAAAAAGTTTAGAGTTAAAAAAAAAAGAATGATCTTTTGATTGATCTAGTCAGATGATTTTGAATAAGGCAAAAGAGAAATACATATTGCTCCCCACTCAATCGTATTTGACCATCATTTCTCTTGTTTTACATTTTGAGATCATAAAATTGCTTTTGAATTAGTGTATTAGTTCCTACTGTACCTCTGTCCCACTGCAATGGCAGCTCTATGAGTCAAGGATTATTCAGCAGTATACCTACAAGCTCAATGATTTTTTGTTGAATGAATGAACAATGAAAAAAAAGAATGTGTCTTTCTATATGAAAATGGCATGATTCATGCCAAAAACTGCTGGGTGGGGAGGGGATTTTTAATAGAATGTGATATCTAAGAACCAGCAAAAAGACTTAAAATGAACTGCTCTAAAACCAGAATGCCCATTTTGGCAAATGTCCTTTTTACTATTTTTAATAATCCAATGTAGCCTGTAAATTCAATTAGTTGATCTAGGAAGCCATTTTCAAGTAACCTATTTTGGATGGCTAACAATTAATTTTATTAACACTAAAAAGTTAATCATTGTTCCAATAAAATTTTTTATCACAACTAGTTGAACAGTTTTTTAGGCTAAAATCATCTGGTTTTGCTTTATGGCATTGAATTTTCGAGCGTCAATCATTTATCCACAGGTTATAAAAGGAAAGTCAAGACCCTCTGCCTCCACCTGCAGGAAATGAATTAGGCAACTTTTTATGTATCTTTCTGGTCATCTGAATAAGAGACCATAAGACGTACACTCCAACCAGTTGATTTTATGACCTCAGGAATCTGTCCTTAATTGGCAAGATAAAATATTTTCATTGTAGCAATTTATTAGACTTACAACCTTATATTATCTACAAACTCATTATACAAAGTTCAGTTATATGAAATAATAGTTGTAAAATAATACTTGAAAGCCATGCAATCCATTTATTCTTTAATATTGGAGATTCTTAACCTGAGGTTCATGGACTCCTCCTCCAAAAATCACACACAAAATTATGACACCGTGTACATAAAACTCCTAATAAAGTGTCTATAGTTTCATCATAATTACAAAGAGATCCATAACTCAAAGAATGTCAGCCCCCACTCCACCCTTTAATGCTTATTCTTGGATCAAGTCAAACCATCAGACAATTTGCACATTTGTTCAATATTATTTTTGCTTTTAAAACATTTATATTAAGTTTGGTTGTGCTGACAACAGCTTGCATTGAAGAGAATCTGTCATTGTCAGGATACTTGAAAACACAGTGCTGTATCCCATGGTAGCCATTATGAAAACCTGTGATCTTTATTGGGTCTTAGTCTTAGCACAGTCTGGGCTTCTCCTAAACATGTTGTTTGGTTTTTCTTATCAACAGAGTGGGGGTGCCTGCGTGGCTCAGTCAGTTAAGCATCCCATTTTTGAGGTCAGCTCAGGTCCTGATCTCAGTTTCTGAGTTGAGACCCACGTAGGGCTCTGTGCTGACAGTGTGGAGCCTGCTTGGGATTCTCAATCTCTCTCTCTCTCTCTCTCTCTCTGCCCCTCCCCCGCTTGCTCTCTCTCCCTCAAAATGAATAAACATTTAAAAAAAATTTTTTTAAGTGTGATCTTGAAACTGCTCGTACGAAAGTCCTTCTTCACCTTTTGAAGTAGGAAACTCAGACCAAATCTATAGGTACCCTTTTATCAAATGTATAGGCTTTTATAACATGCATTTAAAAGTATTAAACTAAACTACAACTAGCTATTATTAGTTTCCTGTCTTCATTTCCCGTCATCTCAATTTCCTCATCTACTTTATGTTATCCTATTGTTTTGTATATATTTTTAAAGTTTCATATCCTGTTTGGAATAAGATGTGAGATGTATATAGGAAATACATTAAAAAAGAAAAACCTGAGCTAGTACCTAAAGACAAAAATTCTATCAAACTTCACTTTACTAAATGAAGTTTCTTACTACCTTTCTGTTATTCTTTTTTTAAAAAAATAAAGTCAATAAAAGTGAGAACATAGAAAAATTTTAGTCCTTAATGCATAGAAAAACACTTTAATATATAGGATGATTTGGTAATGAAATGCACATTTCAGAAGCCATGCAGTACATGACATCAAAATTAAACATTACTTTTTAGGACAATACTGGCATTCATTTTGGCACAGTTTAAAGTCAATATTATGTATAAGATACTTTAAAAAATTAGTTACAGCATTACTTCATCAACTATTGTATTTAAAAAATATATTGCATTTGCATTTTAAATGTTTTCTTTAAAGATGCTTTACAGAGATGCCTTCCAAATAAAAAAAATTGACAAATTGCCTGAAAAATGGAAATGCTAATTCAATAGCCATAAAGCATTTACACACCAACAAAAATACAACTTTGATAAATATTAAAGATTTAGAAATAACAATTTTGATAAATACTATAGGAAATACTTGACTTCAGAAATACTGACAGAATTAAACCTTCAGGTTGATGTCACTTTGCTTGAGGTATTTTCCATGTTCTCCCTCTCTCATATGTAAAACTCATGTTTTGTAAAATCCAGTCCTATAAGAGAGGAGAAATTAATACTCACTATAATACAATTCTTAAGATTTCATCCTTTTAAATAACCCTATAGAAATAATTAATTTAAAAAGCCAAATATATATCCTATCTTTAAAATTTCCTCAATAAATGTAATATGAATAACCATTTGTTAAAAATGAATAACCATAATGTTAAATAGCTTTCTTATGAAAGCTTATTTACATCATGTGCCTGTACATCAGAGCTCCTGCAGTTTCTAAAATCAGTAAAAGTGAAAATCAAAGTCAATCATTAGGGAAACAATAAGGCAAACTTGCTAGCTCATTGGCAAAGAGGATTAAATATTGAATTTTTAAGAAAACCTAACAGCTAGGGGCACCTGGGTGGCTCGGTCAGTTAAGGGTCCGACTTTGGCTCAGATCATGATATGGTAGGTGAGTTTGAGCCCTATGCTTAGGATTCTCTCTCCCTCCCTCTGTCTCCTCCTCTCTCTCTCTCTCTCTCTCCCAATAAGTAAATAAAAACTTTAAAAAATAATGAAAACTAAACTTCTGTTCTTTTAAGTATACATTTAAATTACCTCCTGTTATCTTCTGTGGAAAATTATACTTGGGAGGCATCACCTGTCTTCTGCCCATTCCATGAGATCGTGAGAGCAAGCAGTCTATATACATGTCCCAGAAATCCTGAGCTATGCTTAAGAAGACATTATAATGTCTAGGCCGCTGGGATTTTTGCAAGAACAACATGAAATTCCAGAAAGCATCCACATTATGTTGTATCTTGAGTTCTTTTAGATCTATCAACGTCAAAGAGCAAGCATTCCAGCACTGGAAATCGATGTCTTCTGTGATGCCTGGACTGATGCTGGCAAGCACCCCCTTTTGAAATTCAAAATCAGCATTAATCACATTGATCAGCATCATGCAGCCCAGTGGTAGATAGAACCATCCTCTTGTGGCAAAACCCATATTCTATAGAGGAAAAAAAATGGGGGAATATATTTTTGAGTTAAAAAGAAAATTATTCAATTACTCAATGATCTCTTTAAACCTAAAATTTTATAAATACATATGTATTTGTTTTTGATCAAACCAAATTTGTCTACTATGTATTTGTTGATTTTCTTCTAAGTTGCTGACTCTCAAACCTTCCTTTGAAAAGATAGTTACAATTTGTTTACCAATGTTTTATCTGATAAAGTCTTCAGGCGCCACTGAAATCCAATACATGTTTTTGAAGATGTGATGGATTTATTTCATCACAGACTTTTAGAGCTGAAAGAAATCTTTTTTTTTTTTAAATTAAATGTTTGTTTATTTTAGAGAGAGAGAGATGAGTACAAGCAGGCGAGAACAGAGAGAGAGGGAGACACAGAAACTGAAGCAGGCTCCAGGCTGGAGGCTGTCAGCACAGAGCCCCATGTGGGGCTCAAACTCAGGAGCCATGAGATCATGACCTGAGCTGAAGTCTGACGCTTAACCAACTAAGCCACCTAGGTGCCCCTGAAAGAAATCTTTAAAAGCTTATGCTTCAACCTTTACAAATCAGAAAAATTAGCAGTTTCAGGTCCCCTGTCTCCGTATCTAGGACTCCTACCACAACACATTCTAACTAAGTGAATCAGAATGCAGATCGTTAAATTTGTAACCATGAGAAAAAGGGTGGTTTTTTAAAATAATCTAACCAATTTTAATTTTTTTAGATGTAACCAATCTATTAACCAAAGTGGTATCTCACTAAAGTTTCAAAATCACTGATGCTTCTTCCATTTTTATTCACTGAAAAATATTTGTTATGCACTGATGTCTGGTGGATCCCTGGCTACTCTCAGCTTGTTCAGGATCTGTTTGGAGAAGATTAGCATACATACCTGAAGGAGCAGGAAGTCAATACAGGAGATATGAGCTAATATGACACAGTGTAGGGGCAGTGACATTCAGCAAAATCTTGGCATTTTCTAATGGTCTTTGCCCAAATTTCCCTGTCAAATCATCACTCAGTAAATTGGCTACCTGAGTGGACGTCAAGGACTCAATTGGCTTTGAACTGCCACAGAGCTGGCATTGGAAATGTCCCTGACACAACCTTGACAGCCAAGGCAGAGGAGTGGAGTGGGGGGACAAATCCGGAAGACATGCCACCTCCTTACCCATATACCGCCAACTGACATCTCCTCCAAAATAATTTAGGATAAAGAGACAAAAGAAAAAAAGTTAAGCTTAGGTCTTTTCTTATTCAGGTCTTTTCACATCATCAAAAACTGTACAGATTCCCAAACTGAGCTGACAGTGCCCATGTATGATAGGAGTTCTAAAAGGAAATGACTGGGTGAGGCCTGAGAATTTTCTTCCACGAAAATTTCAGGTTACACTCCTGACCAGTGCCCTCCTCCGGGTCGGGTCACCTGGACTCGCTCGGAAGACGGAGTCCGAGCGGGAATGGAGTACCTCTTGTCTGCGCCGAGGCGCGCGTCCAGCGCGGCGTTCTGTATGCGCTGAGCTCACTCTGGAGTTGCAAGCGGCTCCTTCCAGGAAAGGACAAGAGATCTCAGAGGGCTCCGGACGACCCCCGGCCCTCCCGGCTCCTACCCCCAACCCAGCCAGGTCCCACCCCAGAGGCAGGCGAAAGGCGGGAAACCACCTTCCGCTCGATCCTCTGCGCGCGCCCCCAGCACCTCGAACTCGCCCAGCTGAAGTGTGTCCACTGCGCGGCGCTCCGGGGCTGGGAGGCTCTGGCTCGCGGAGCAGGGCGCTTCGGGCTCTGTGGCGGCCTCCCGAGTGGAGCCCCAGTCAGCCCGCAGCCCGAACCGCGCTCCTTTTCTAGGGACAGAGTGAGGGGGCAGAGAGTGGGTGGTCACACTCCCGAGACCCAGCTGCCGTCTTGCCCACCTTCCCAGACTGGACACCCACTGGACCCGCCACTCCCTGCACTCGGTTGCCGCTCCTGCCTGTCTTGCCCTTCTTCCAATTTCTTGAAATTACAGTGGCTCAGGTCTTCCTCGCTTTCCCCCTCCCTTCTACCTTTCTGTCTTTGAGAAAATCCATCACAGCAGTGAGTCCACTATATATTCCAGCTCTCTCCTCCCTCCACCCCCCAGCCTTCACGTCCTATTCTCCTATCCTAAGAAACACTTTCATAAGGCTTTGGACAGTTTGAAATGAACCCCCTTGATGAGTTCTAACCTCTAGCTAAGCACCGTTTAAATTACTAATGCTAACACATAGACACTGCAACCTATCCTCCTCTCTACCTAAATATACACTGTTTAACTTTGGGAAGATGGTTTTCTTTAGTCTTTGGTAGAATGAAGACTTGGGGCAAGTCCCTGAAATATCTGTATACTGTGCATCAATCTCAGCCTTGACACATTGTTTGGACCATCTCTACCTTTAAGTCCGACTTCTATGCCCGAATCCCAAGAGCAGTCATCACATGGAGTTGTGTGGGAAATCAACCCAAAGCTAGTTGCCTCAAACCCACTGACCCTTAAGCAGGTCACCCTTTCCTTACTGGCTCTTGAGCTCGGATGTAGGACTATGGGCCAATCCCAACAGCCAATTTCCCAGCAGTTGTCCTCCGTAAAGCCCATGTCTCCCAGCCCTACCACTATTCAAAAAGCTCCACTCTGCCCTCCTCACTATACCAGTGCAACCATCATTATTAATCCTGCTCTTGCAATGCCTTTGCATGTCCCTTCCATCTCTAGGACCAGCTCCCGTACAAAACAGAACTGAGAAGTGAGTCATTTACTCTGATTAGGTAGAATTCACACAAATCCATCTCACACCAGATTTTCTTCGGCTTTAGGTTTCCGGGCATTTCAGTCCATTATTAATCACGGACTCTTAAAGTTAGCAGAGACATTGAAAGTTACCTAATCCAACATTCAACATTCTCTCTGAAGTTTAAGCCTTGCACTCTCCCAATGAGTTCGCCAATCACCAAACCTGCTGTTCAGCTTGACTGGACCTTGGGCATCCACTCCTGTATAAGGACATAAAACACCAACTCACAGAAGAGTAATACCCAAAATCCCATATATGAGACAAGAGGCTCGCATTCGAGGAAATAATGAATATTTTTCCTCTACTTAAAGTTTAACAAAAATTGAAGCATTTGCTATTATACAGTGTTAGAAAATTTTTGAGCAAATGAACATTTTCATATACTTTTGAGGAGAGTATCACCTAGTAAGTATAATCACCACAGAAGAAAACTGGTATAATTTCTTTAACCTGAAAATGATGCAGAAATTCTGCTCTTCGTTCTACCCTCAAGTCAGTGACCAAAAACTATCTATGTGACTGATTTCTCTACAGAGTTCACTGCTACATTATAAATAGAAACTGCCTAAATGATGACAAATGTACTTTTTTTTTTAAATGTTTTATTTATTTCTAGGAGAGAGAGAGAGACAGCATGAGCAGGTGAGGGTCAGAGAGAGAGGGAGTTACAGACTGTGAAACAGGCTCCAGGCTCTGAGCTGGCAGTCAGCACAGAGCCCGACGCGGGGCTCGAACCCACAAACCGCGAGATCATGACCTAAGCGAAAGTCGGACGCTCAACCGACTAAGCCACCCAGGCGCCCCGACAAATGTACTTTTTAAAGTATTGTTGAGTAATCAAGAAAGTGAAATCTCCAAGGAAAGAAGAATAGAGGAGAAAGAAGAAGAATCAAAGAGTAAGGAAAAGGAAGAAGAGGAGAAAAGCAGAAGAATTTAAAAAGTGATATATGGATAGTAAATTTGGAATTTGTTAATTGATAAATATGTATGGTAAAAGGTAAAATATAGATACTGAATTAAACTTTATAAAGTTGTTAAATATATAACAATTGTAAAAATTGTAAAATTTCTTGGATAGTTCCTAAATGACAGAAATAAAGAACACAGCTTTTGAACAGGTAGAAAATAAAAACTGAATAAGAAAAACAGATTGATATGTGAGCAGTGTGGGTAGTCTTCTTCTGGATTTATCTGGGGTTGACTGACTTTTCTTCCAACTCTAACATGACCCACTGTTACAGCAAGCAGGACACTCCAGGCCCTTCCTCCTGGAGAATCCGGAGAACTTCCAGAAGCAGAAGACAGCTCTACTACTCTACAAAGGAGTAGGATCATTTCAGCCATGAAGCCTATTGTTGAACCTCTACATCTTAGGTGTGGTGCTGACTCTGCTCTCCATCTTTATTAGTCTGAAGGAGTCCCCTGGCAGGGGTGGGGGGGGATCATACTGGAGAGCCCATTTCTGGGGAGCTCCTGGACCACCAGAGGTCAACTAGCTAGTAAAGAGCCCCAAGCACCTTCCAGAGGTGTGGGGTGTGGATAAGACCTCCCTCCACCAGCTATAACCTTGGAACACTGGCCTAAGCATATTCAGCTGGGTGTCAAGTTCCTGGACAGGCAAGCTGAGAGCATCGGTGTTACCAGAATTATTAATAAGCCCTTAAAGGGTCTCTTCCTCTGGATGCTCCTTGTCCTAGATAAAGAGCCTGTTTAATATGTAGGTGTTAGTGTGTTCCCTATAACTGTGGGATGGAGTGATATCACTCTTCTTCTTGGGTTCTGGTGTAAGATTTGCTGCCCTTGGCAATATAGCTCTGACACATCTTAGATGGGGGTTTGTGCTTTACATTCAGCTTTTGGGAGATAGTGTCATTTTCATCATTTTTTCCTCAACATCTGCCAAGAGTACCTTCAGACTTGCGTATTTTATGGTCGTCATATTTGGTGTTCAGGTTCTCTTCTATGAGAGCTTGTCTCTGTGCAGATAACAGCTAAAGCAGTGGGTGGGTTGGCTGCAGGGAGGGGAGTAGTCAGTGTCCAATTCTCATTGTTTCACATGTTCAAGTCCTTTCTTCAACATAGTGTATATGTTCATATATTGGTCTGAAGGGGACAGTGTAATGGCTAAGCCCATTCAGGACATAGCATTATGGCCACTGTGTGGCTTAAATGAATTTTTCTAA